ACACACACACACACACACACACACACCTTAAAAAAAAACAACTGCTTCTTTGTAAGTAAGTTGTATTTAAAATGTGGTCGTTTAATGATTTGCACCAAAGACTAAAAAAAAAAAGTACATGGCTGCCTTAATGAATAGTAGTACTTGCACCTCTACTCAAAGTACTTCATAATTATTTTTGAAGTGTGCAGAATCCTAATAATTTTTCGTTGGTTTCAACAAGATAAAATATATAACCAAAAAAAAAAAATGCTGATCCTTCCTGTAATGAGCCAATGTTCACTGGTCTAAATCCTCACTCTGACCCAAAGGAGGACCTGGAGTGGGAAGTCATCTACTGTAGCAGCATCTTCTTTACTAGATAACATGATGTTATCAAATGCCTTTCTCACTCTACTCTCAGCCATTCTAGAAAGGATCAATACCCCTTCAGGGAACAAAGGATGCTCCTCAGAGGGGACAAGGTGGACAGTGGATCCAGACCAGCAGTCATCAGAAATTTCAGTATCTCTTCCTGAATAAGCTCCAACCAACAGGTAATTCCTCATTTTATTGCCACAACATTCCTGTAATGTAGACTTCAGACCTAGTCTTCAGACCAGAGTCCCCATTCCTATATTTCTTTCAGCACTGCTTTCATCTTTGTCTACATTCAGTTCCTTCTGTCTGTGACAACTTTCTACATTGCAAATCAGCACACGAAACTCTCCTTAATTGTTTGGCAATTAAAACTTCAATCACCCAGCAGTTACAATGTTTATTTGCTAATCAATTGCTGGCAGTGATCCAGACAACAGTGATCACATTAATAATTTTTCAAACACCTTTCATGCAAATCTATGGCCAAGCCTAGCAACCATTTTGGCATCCATTTCATAGACATCTGACAAAGCTCTTCTTCACACTAATGTATGTGTTAGTCTTTACCATCTGACATAATTCTTCATTGTTTTGAAAGGGAATGCTGTGGTAGATCTTTTGCTTGTGCTGGCCCCAGAATATAGACTTCACTACCATTTCAACTAGAACAGTATGCAAAGTTGGAAGTTTCCAGGAATTTTTCCTTAAGCAAGATAAAGAGTACTTGGAAATTCAAAAGTCTAAAAAAGCTGAAAAAGTTTGGATTCAAATACATAGATCGGTACAGAGGATTTTAAAGATTAATATTCAGTTGAAGCCAGAACGTTTCCTTTTAGGACTGATGGATACACAGTCAGAAAAGAGTCATGGTAAATTACTTCAATATATGATTACTGCGGCGAGATTATTATATGCACAAAGATGGAAAGATTCGGCACTAACCACTACGGAGGAATGGTTGGTGAAATTGACAGAACTTGCTGAGATGGCCAAAGTGACTTTTTTCATTAGAGAAAGGTCATTATTGACATTCATCAATGACTGGAAATCCCTTATAGAATTTTTGTGTAAAAAGGAAAATGATTTTGTGACTTACAGTTTTGATGATTAGAAAGAATAGGTTATAGAAAGAAGTGAAATATGATGTCATCTTAGAGAGAGAAGATTGATTAGAATTGTTGTATAACTGCTGAAAGGAAGATCAGAAGCCATTTCTATATAATATACATACAGAATTGATATATATATATATATATGTCTGTGTGTGTGTGTGTGTGTATGTGTGTATACACACACACATGTATATATGCACGCACACACACACACACTAATGTTTT